TGCTCTTGGGAACAGTTTCATTGCAAAGAGCATGATGAGCCTCCTGTAAAACCATTGTAATCAATATCTCACTGGACTTCCAGATAAGACACCTTTTTTAAACTATTAATTGGGAATGTGTTTACAAACTATTCATCATCAATTGCAACACCTAGCTTTCTCATGATTTGACCTTTCCCAAGGATTTTGGATCAAGCTGGCTAGGAATTTTCTGAATCAAAAGGTCTTTTTCAGAAAATGCCAGTTCATTAAAATCAAAACTTTCAGATGGAACTTACCAGTTTCAGTGACATTTTAGTTGAGAGTTTTTCTCAGTTCCATCTTGGGATTTCTCATCAAAACCAGAACCAGAGTAGTCAGGATTCCAGTGGTGTTAAGGCTGTCACCAAAGATTTGGGCAGTTCTGCAATTCCTCCATCTTGGGTAGAGTGTCCTAACCACTAGGCCATGTCATTTTGGCCCATTTTTTTTAATACAAGATGAAAGAGATCCAACAGGAGAGACTACAAGTAACCAATAGCTTACTGGTTAAAACACTTAAGAGGCTAGTGCCCAGGCCCTCATGTGAATCAGGGTATGGGCTATTTTGATTTCTCTCTCTGTTATTTATGACAAATTTTTAAAAGGTTCAGTTTCTTCCCGCATTTCAAGGAACAGAAAAAATGTTTCCTACCCACTTCTACGTACTTACTTTTTTTTAACCTTTCTGGGTATCTCAAAGAGAAGTTCAGAAACTTTCATGGATTTAACACCAGTGTTTATCTGGAGCTCCATAGAGGTGATTCTTGGATGAGTCAGCAAAATAGCTAAGTGTCTCTGCACAGAGGTAACAGGCTGATAGTCTCCCCTGGGGTTAGTCCTGCAAGTCTCGCTCGCACGAAACAACCACTGAAGTTAATGGGAACTGAATGCACCTAGGGCTAAGAAAAAAGCTATCTCTGATTTTGTTCCTCTGCATGATATTTAGCCTTTACTCCTTTGGAGTCTTCCACACTATGTGCTACTTTGGCCAGTATGAGTCTGAGACTTGGGCCAGAATGATATGTACTTTCGATGTAAGCTTACTGCCTCATGTTGGTGTATCAATGCATATGTTTTTTCAAGGCACAGAATACAGTCTCTTTATTAACACAACCCGTATTACGAACAGCTGATAGAAGAAAATTCTCTGGTGTTTTTCTAATTAGAATCGAGCCTGCTCCACATTCTAATTGAAATGCTCCAGCATCACCTCACCATCACATGTATTAAGCCCCCCCCCCCACCAGAGCCCACATTTTAAAATGGCTATGGGGGGCACTTTAACTAAAGCTCATTGAATGAGCAGTGGTGCTTTAGTTAAAGCACCACTGCAGCCATTTTAAAGTGCAGGGGGTTAAATACACATGATGTTGAGCTGTTTTAATTAGAGCGGCTGTTGGGGAAACACTCTAATTAAAACAGCTCCTCCCCACCCTCAAGCATGTGTATATGAACTGTGCTGCTGCGTGCCTGCATTACTCTTGTATTATATGTATCTGTAGCATAACATTTTCAAAGAAAAATACTACTATTTTAAACAGAGAACAGTCACTTCTGCATAACCACTTAGTGAAAATGTGCTCTCACACAATAGCCTTTATAACAGGACTTGCATCAGGTGCAACACTGTTTTCATGGGCAAGTCTAATAATCTTCAGTTCTTATTATTTCACCTGTCTATCAAATCTGCTTTTTTTGGAGTAAGGGCCAACAAGATACTCATTGGGTGCTTAACAGAATTTTAGTTAGCAATGTAACTCTTCATAAACAGCTTGTCAGAATGGAAATTTAAGTGATGTGGCAATTGCTATTTTCACTCTGTTGTTCAGCTGCAACCTTTCCTCAGTTTGGCAAAGCAAAATCTTTACTACATATATAGTGGTGGGGGAAGAATATCTGAGCAAGTATTGAGCACCTCATGTGAGGGACTTAGTGTTTAAAGGCCAGAATTACAGTGAGTTCAAACACGGGAATAGGGGCATTTCTGAGATTTACAGGATCATGTAACGAAGTTAGACATTGAAGAGGTCTCTTCTTCATCTTCAGTGATCTAATATATTGCCACCATCCCCATTATTTCTATGGTTATTGTATTATTTATTTCCAGTTAGCTTGTTAATATCTTTATATTTCCACATGTACCAAGCCATTGTATTAACTCTATAAAGAAAATATCCAATCCAGATAGGATAAAATAAATTGAATTTATTAGGCCTTCCATTATGTTTAGAAAAGGAAACAGAAAAGAAGCAAATACAGCAAAAGATGCTGTAATTTACAGCATAAGGATCTTGGTCCACTACACAATGAAACACATTAGGCAACTCTGACAGATGTCCCCTAACTGGCCCCTTCCCTGGAGAATTTTAGGCATGTTGCATAATTCCTATGTCTCAGATTCCTTTTCTGGCTAATTTAAGTGCAACACTAGCCAACCCTCATAATGGGCAGTGTAAATTTTCCAGTCATTAAATGCCAGGTTACCACCCACAGCAACTTTTAAACAAATGTATACATTTTTACATTTTATCTATCTTTTTCTAGTTTTTCAGGGACAGTAAAGGCAACAAGCAGCCCTGATTAACCAAAAGAAAAAAGCAAACAAAAGAAGGATAGGTGCCTTTTCATGTTTCATTCATGTCCCATTTTTTATGCCTGCACACATTCAAAACACAACACAAAATCCAGAAGAGGCAGGGAATAAAAGAAGGAAAACCCCTCCAAAAATCATAATTCCAAAGCAGTCTCTTAGACAGAAGGCCCTGTTTGAATGTTCTGCAAACATAAAGGAACACATTGTCTCAATGTGTGGAAGGGGCTTTAGTGTATTCTAGATGGTGGATAGGTATGGATAAGGTTTCTGAAAAAGGGCAGCCTTATTTTGGAAGAACAATGACATCATATACTATCTTCCTGTCCTAATGTTGCTTTTGACTTTGTCTTTTGAGGACCTGCATGGGTAAAGGTCAATGTAGTGCCTGACCAACCTGATTTCTTCTATGACAAGGTAACAGCCTCTGTAGATGTGGGGAGAGCAGTGCATGTGGTATACCTTGACTTTTGAAACTGCATGTCATGATATTCTCATTAAGAAGCTAAGGAAATACAGGTTAAAGTAAAATACTGTAAAGTATATACAATACTTGGATCATCATGCTTAACAAGTGGTTATCAGTAACTCAAAGTCTAGTAGGAAGGAGGAATCAAGTGGGGTTCCCCAGGGATCTGTCCTGGGTCTGGTATTGTATAATATCTTTATTAATCATTTGGGTGATGGGACTGTGTTCGCATTTAGTAAATTTGTGGATGACACTAAGTTGGGTGGAGTTTCAGGTACTCCAGAGAGTAGGACTAGGATCCAGTATGACCAGGATAGCTTCTAGAAATGGACTGCAATCAATCAGCTGAGATTCAACAAGGACACATGCACTTCGGATGGAATAATTGCAAGCACAAATACAGACCAAGGAATGACTGGCTAAGTGGCAGTACTACAGAGAAGGACCTGGGGTTTGCAGTAGATAAGTGGTGCCAAATTCATCTAGCCACATGGGTTGTTGTGGTCTGGATTCTGGGTCCTGGACTGATCCCCTCTGTAGCACCCATGCTGCCAGGTCCAGCCCACATGCTGCACACAGCATGCACCAGCCCCACGGCTTGCTGTACATATGGCAGGTGGGGTAGGATGGTGCATGAACTGCCCACGGTACCCTATTGGCATGTGCAGTATGCATCCAGTGTTAGCATCATGTGCCATGTGCACAGTGAGCCCAGAGGCCAGTGTGTGCTGCACTGGCTGTGCATGATGCATGTAACACAGGGGTCTGGCACAGGACACATGCTGCAACAGTTTGTTCTTGTTAAAAAAAAGCCAATAGCATTCCAGGTTGTATTAGCAAAAGTGGCACTTGCATATCCAGACAAGTTATTCTGCTGTGTTCAGTACTGGTTATGTTTCACCTGAAGTACTATGTCTAGTTTTGGGTCCAACACTTCAGGAAGGATGTGTACAGACTGGAAAGACTCCACCAGAGAGCAACAAAAATTATTAGACTCCTGAGAAACAAGATTTATAAGCAAAGACTTGGAAGAACTAGGGTTATTTAGTAGGGAGAGGAGAAGATTGAGGGGGGATTAATACCTGAAGGATTATTGCAGAGAGGATGGGATTAGCTTTTTCTGTGGCTGTAGGCTGGCATGGATCCAGAGTAGGTACCAGTAGCATAAACACTCCCTTTCTCCCACACTTTCAGTCAGTGCCATGTGAGCAATGGCCTCAAGCTGCAGCAGAGGAAATTTAGTTTAGAGATTAGGAGGATCTTTCTGATTATGAGGATGACCAGGGATTGGAATAGGCTACCTGGAGAAATTATGGAATCTACATCCTTGGAAGTTCGCAAGAGCAAGTCAGACAGACACTTGGCAACAATAGTTTTTCTGACAGGGGCAATCCTGACTTGAGTAATGGGATAAACTGGATGAGCTTATGAGGTCCCTTCCAGCCCTATTTTCCTATGATCCTATGATCACTTCCCTATGTGAATTAAAATGCTACATTAGGTGCTGTGAATCTTCCAGCTAAACCAGTGGCTGTCTTTTTTGACATGAGGCATGTCTTTATAACTTCCGTGAGTTGAGCAGTATCCCATTTCAAAACTGATTTATTTATTATAGACCTTATCTGCTTCAAGAGGGCTGCAAAGGAAGAAGAGGAGCCAACATGGAAGAGCCTGCACTGCACTGAGGGTGGGGAGGAGGAACAGCTGAAAAAAGGAGAGCCTGCCATAGCACCCTGGCTGAGAATCACAGAAACAGAAGAACATAATAACGCCCCCTCCCCCCAAAAATAAACAAACCTGTATATAATATATATAGCCTTCAGTTTTAAAATATTGTAGGGACAAATGTAGCAGCTGATATCAGAATATGATTTTACATGAAAAATATTTATTAATTGAATGTTACTTATTGTGTTACAGGTGCAAGAATGGCTCTGCCTAAACTGCCAGACACAAAGAGCAATATCAGGACAACTTGGTGACATGGGCAAAATGTTGCCTCGTATGCCAGTCCCTTCACAGTCAGTATCCAAACCATTTGTTCCCCAGAGCCAGCCTATGCCTACTGAGCCACATCACCCTCAGAAGACTTCAACACTGCCTGTCCAAACCATGGAAAAATCAAAAGAAGAACCAGCAGTTCCAAAGGATATTCCAAAGGTTCGGCAGCCAAAACTTACCAAGACACCCTCAGTTGAGAAAACTCAGGGGATTCAAAAGGAAGATCCAAAACTTCAGCAGAGGAGACTGTCAAAAACATCCTCAATCGATAAAACTCAGGGGATTCAAAAGGAAGACCCAAAGCTTCAACAGGTGAAATTGGCAAAGGCACTTTCAGCTGATAAAATTCAACCTGGAATCCGGAAAGAAGATCCAAAACTTCAGGGAAAACTGACAAAGACCATTTCAGCTGATAAAATCCAACAAGGAATTTGGAAGGAAGATACAAAACTCCAGCAGGAGAAACTGGTCAAGATACCACCAGCTGATAAAATCCAACCAGGAATTTTGAAGAAAGATCCAAAGCTTGAGCAGGAGAAACTGGTCAAGGCATCATCAGCTGATAAAATCCAACTGGGAACTGAGAAGGAAGATCCAAAACCGCAAAAAGGAAAACTGGCAAAGACATCTTCAGTGGATAAAATTCATCCAAAGATAAGTTCAGATCAAAAGCAACCCCTCAGCAAATTGATAGATGATAAGAAATCTGTATTACCAGAAAAGAAAGCATCTCTTCCAGAGGACAGGAAAGAGCAGTTCCTAGTTGAAACTAAAGAAAAAATTATTGAAGAGAAATTAGAAATCAAAGGCCCTCCTAAAGAATTTCATGCTCAAAAACAGGAAGAAGTTAAGAAAGAGGATTTGATACCTGGGCTTCCACAAATAGTCTCCAAACTGGACAAAAATAAGGAAGAAGACACTTCAGCTCAAGTTGCACCTGTGCCAAGACTGAACCTTGCAGAAACAGTGAAAGAAAAAACAGTAAGCATTGCATTAATTTTCTTTTGTTAAAAGTGGTCAATGTAGAGTTTGATCCCATATATTCTTACTTATGAATGCTTCTATTTTTTTTTTTTTTATGAGGTGATTCTTACTGGTGAGATCAAGGCCTCCTGTGAGTAAGGATTTATCAAGCGGGGCCTATATATTTTGAAGGGTAATATTTCAGCTGGGTTTGTAAAGTTTTAAGCCCCCATCAGTCAGAACTTGAGATTTTTTTGTCGGATTCAAATATTTCTTATTTATCTGATAGATGTTGGAGAGCCTCAAGACTTTTAAAAAAATAGTATTTTTATTTTTCTAATTGTGGGGGCTGAGACATTTTTCTTAGCTCTCAGTCGCCAAATCCCATTCACTCTGCTAATCAACTATTTCCCTTTGTTGCCTTGTTTATTTGTTCATTTATTTATTTTTATTGCTGCAAAAATTTTGATTTGGAGTAAGCAAGCAGTACAAATAATGAAATACATTTTTGGTGGGTAACTTTATTGGCCACCATGGTCATTGGACCACATGAGTTCAGATTTTCATACCTATGCTGTGTTACATCAACATCCTGATGACAATAGGATGCTATATGATTGCCATATCAAATTGTAGCATAGGAGCATGAGCCTATATTAAAATACATTCACATGTATCATACATCAATGTACATAATTTATTTCTCTCATGTAGAGAAGTGCTTATTTTCATGTAGAGCTTTATTAATAGACAATCCAATCAAATGAATGAATGAATAACATCTTGTTGTCCTGGATCTGCAGTACTTAAGACATTTATGACCCAAAGGTGGATAAAGAAATTACTTGTGCATGTTTTCTGGGGGAGAAGAATACATCTACACTCTTTTTTTTAACCTTGAAATAGGTGTTGATTATTCATTTCATAAGTATAGCACTGGAAAGTACATTTTTTCATTTCTACACCTATGAGAGATATTTTTCAAAGAGAAAATGGCTTATTTATCATAGGAATTTTGACTTATAACTAAATATAAGTCAACTATTACAGTGAAAAACAAGTAGCTGGATTCAGGAATTCTTCTGTTGTGTCCCTTAACATGATTCATGCTAATATTATCTATAAGCCAGCTTCCTAGGCTGGACTGTGCTCTCCATGACAGGTCATGGTCTCCCTAGTGCCAAGATAGTTTTGTCCTGGGAGTCACTGTCCATGATACACTGTGAAAGATGAAGCCTGGCTGGGGAACTCAGTCTATGGAGGAGAAAGGACATATAAAGAAACCAGAGTAGAACACATTCTGGACAATAGAAGAATATTTAAAAAAAAGAATATATTTCTGTTTTCAACATTGATATTTAAGTTTTTGGAGTATTTGGATTTTGAGCAAAAACAACAAATAAATAAAAAAGTAACATTCCCTGGTGAAATCAGACAAAGATTTTGTCGAAGAGGTGGATTTTTTGGACCTAAATCCAATTTTCTCTCCAAAAAAAATCTATAATTGAAAAAATCCCATCAGGCTTACAATGTCATTCTTACAGCTCTTTGAGAAAAGAGAACATTGCCAGGCGGTTAGGGCACAGATCTGAAATTCAGGTATTCTATTTTAGCTCTGACAGCAACTCACTCTCTAATCATTCATCTGTCACACTATTTCTGTATGCAATATGTGATCATTTTCTGAATATGTCCGGTGTCTACTTATTTAAATTAGTGGAGCTACTCAAGAGAATATTGCAGTCTTTACTGTTTCATGTTACCGGTCTATAAAATTAACATAATAATAAATAACTATTCGTTATTGCCAGAGTGCAGCTTTGAAGTTCCAGTAATGAAAGTTTGTAAAGCACTTGGTGTTTCACACATGAAAGGACCTATGTATAATTATTATTAAAACTAGGAAATAGAACACTCTGACATGCAACATGAATTTTGAAAAGGATCTATATTTATAGGAAGGGCACAGAGATTATTTTCATTTGTTTTCCTCTTTTGGTGTGAATACTAGAAATATTCTTCTCAGTTGTGATCAAATGTCAAAACAATTTGCTGCGAAGTAAAGGTAAACTAGATTACTGAGCTAGTTGGTTCCTTTAAAACAAACATGATAATTATTGTTACTTATCGAGTGATAATTAAAGTTTTCTGTGATATACAGCAACCAGTGAAAAATATGATACAACCCGTTGTAGCATATAATAGAAATAAAACAGAAGATTACAATTTGGGTTACATGGCATCTTTTGAGGACCTGCCTGGGTAAAGGTCAATGTCCAGGTAACACAGAATATTTTTCAAATATACGTTAAAGAGAGATTGTTTAAAAAGATTTGTGCAAGGTCTATATTTAAAAAGGTTGTGAATTAATCTCAACACATTTCATTTGTAAAATACTACATACTTCTCCTGCTGTCTTCAAACCTCTATGCAAATATTAACTAACTAAATCCCTCCTTATTGCTGTAAGTATGTATTATGAGCTTCATTTTGCACAGAAAATAGCTGGAAAGATTGTGGTTCTGGTCCAAAACTCAGTCAAATCATTAGAAAGGCTTCAGTAGACAGATAATCCTCAAAGGTATTTAGATTCTATCACTACCATTGAAATCAATGATAATTAGTAGGGTTGTGCAAAATGGCACCGTTCCATTTTGACCAGCGTTTTGACTTTTTGACGGAACAGCGTGCCATTTCAAATTTTGTTTTGATTCACAACTGGTGTCCCATTTCGTTTCATCGAAACAGTGTTGCTATTTCAACGTTTCACCCATAGGCTATAATGGGAAACCTTGAAACAGCCTATAACTTTGTCATTTCTGGCCTGATTTTGGTGAAACTTGCCGGATATGGTAGCCCCTTCTGAGGGCATGAAGCCTGCGAAGTTTCAAGGAGGTAGGTGCAGGGGTTTCAGGGAAACTGCACCTCAAATCTTGAAAGCAAAAAATTCATGTCACCTGTATGTGTTAAGCCACAGCAGGGTCCAAACTGCAGGCTTGCTAGCCCCTGGTGAGGCCAAAAAGCTTTCCAAGTTTCAAGGAGATAGGTGTAGGGGTTTTGGAGAAACTACCTCAAGCTGCTGACAAGCAAAACTCGTGACATGGGTGACACTGTGTGTGTTAAGGCACAGCAGGGTGAAAGCTGCAGGCCTGCTAGCTCCTGCTGAAGCCACGAAGCCTGCCAGCTGTCAAGGAGATAGGTACAGGGGGAGTCTGGGTTCTGGGGCCCTGCACCTCTAGCTGCTGATGGGCAAAACTCATGACATGGGTGATACTGTGTGTGCGTTAAGGTGCGCCCTCACTCAACTGACACCAAGGCAGAAAGCAGGGCAGTTCAAACAATGCTGCCTTTTATGCAGTTTTTCCGTCCCTCCACCAGAGCACTGGGATTGGAAGGGACCTCAGGAAAGGATCACAGTCACTGGCCAGCTACACAGTCAATAACAAGAGCAGTCTTTCCCCCTGCTTCCCCCCTCTTCCCCATCCCTCTCCTTACTTTAGTTTCTCTTTCCCTGCAGGCAAGCCCAGCCTGAGCTTCAAAACTCAAAACATTTTGAAAATTTCAAAACATTTTGACTCAACTCGTTTTGTTTTGAGGCTGTTTCAAAGCTCCCTGTTTTATTTCGATTTTGCTGTTTCGAGCTCGAAATGAGTCGAACCAGCTTTGAAAGGAAACTGCCGGCAAAATTTCACGCAGCCCTAATAATTAGCTTCTAAAATGGCTTTGAGGATTTGTGCCTGACTCAGAACTGACAGTTTCTGACTCTTATCTAGGTTTGCACCTTATAGACTAACTAAATTAGATATGTATAGCATGGGCTCACTTCTAGTCCCTTCTAGTCCTCTCTGTTTTAAAACAGTGGGTGATATATTATCCACTCATTATCGAAGAATAGTGATGAATTAAATTTGTTTTCTCAATATATTCACTAATACTACCCTGCAAAAGATGGAAAAAGCGGGATTCCCCTGAACTTCTGGCCATGTTCTTTCTGTAGAATAGGTTACAGTTTTTAAAAATACTGCTGATTTTTACTTGCAATCATTTCTTATAACATTTTGAAAACAATCAGTGGAATTATACCACAACATATTTAACTTGCAGTAGTAGAAGGCGTAGCATAAATACAGAAGGGCAAATATAAACTTCTTTTTTCTCCAGTATCACGTGATAAATGACAGCACAGATTGCTGTGATAGAATCATTTAGTTTTTTATGACATTAGCTTACATGTAACAAATATACATTTACCAATTTTTTTATAATCTTCCTGTAGCTCCAAAACTTAAATGAGTGCCCAGTTGGTAAATATGTTCTTATTTAGAGACAGTCAGAAAATCTTCTACAGAACCATTTTCCATTAGAAAAGGGAGTGTCATTATCAAACTGGAATCCTAGATGAAATTATGATGATTTCACCAACGTTTTCATTTTGGGGGGAAAAAATAATACACCAATATTGAATATATTCAGCATATTCCATTTTTGCTTTTTTCATAGTTAAACTTTTACATTTTTTGCTTGTGTAACAAGTTTTCTTTTAAGTTTTTTAAAAAACTTTTTGGTTATTACACATTATGCTATAACATACATTAAAAATCTAAACAAAAGTCAACCCCCAAAAAATTAGCTGGCCTTTTTTTCCCTGTGTTTTCCTGAAAGAAATAGTTTCCTGGTTAGATTGGAAACATTTTTTGAAAACTTGAATTTTTCTGTGAATTTCCATTAACTGACGTACTCTATTTAAATACTCTGATCTTTCTAAGAATAAATCAGCTTTAGAAAAACTAAATAGCAAGCATTTTATATTTTCATTGTTTTTTTAACAAAATTCTAATTCAGTTGATAAACAATATAGTAATGTAGACAACAAATACTTAAATATTGCCCTTGCTTGTTAGTATCAATGCTAAAATGCCAATGAGTAATGTAAATACAGAATTTTAAAAAAATTCTCAGATTTTGAGAAGTAACTAAAAATGCAAGAATAAGGGATACATTGAAAACGAAAAATTCTAGCATGAAATAGTTAACTGATGTACAGCTGTAAGTACAAGATTTCTTTTCTGCACTATAAAAACTTTGTATAGTATATCTTTTAAGTACTTCTAATTTTCATAGAAAAGACACTAAAGACCTCCAAAACTGGCATCTTCCAGCTTTAGTATCAGTATCCACCCTTCACATCTTTCATTCTGTGCAAAAAGAATTTCACCCTATACCAGTCAAAACACTCCTTGAATTTGCTGTGAGTTGCTGCAGGACTAAACTTGACCAGTACCAAAAGCTCACAGACAACACATTTCTAAAAAGAAGACCTTAACTTCTTCCAGAAGACCTACTAAGTTGTTGGTATGAAGCAGAACGGCACCTAGTTTTGATAATGAAATCGTGTTTTTGCCATTAACTTTAAAGGACGTTTTTTTTCAAGCACCTAATATATTTCTCCGAGATTGCAAACCGTCTCACATATATAACCCTCAGTTACAGGGTTTTACCCTTCAAATATGTTCATCTAAAAAAGTTTTTGTACTGTTGTAATTACTTGGATTGTAAAAAGTGATATAGACATGTATCACAGGAAAATTAAATATATATATGGCTTCCAAACTATGCTGTGCATTATTATTTTTGCATGATGTATATCACAGCACAGACAACTATGCATAGACAAATATATAATGTAAAATATGTTTTTGTAAAATACACTCGTACTGTAGTGGATTTTTATAAAATGCACACTGTGCTTATTCCTGTAGGTAATAGAAGTCCCTTGCAGGTAGAACTTAGGCTGCTCCTCTGCTCTAAAAATGTTGAACCCTTTCCCAAAGTGCAGCTCCATATTGCTGATTATACAAAGGCTGTGTACAGACATTCAGGGAGGCTAAATCAGGTTCAAAATGGCTGTCCAATTTAAACTTAGTTTGTCTCAGTCGTGACCTTACATTTACAATAAACCTGTACACTAAACATTTATCTGGACAGAAGTTTCATGCACACAAACCAGTCTAAAAAGTATGAAACCCAGTTTAAGATAAACCTGGATTGATGTAGTATCAAACTTACTTGGTTTAGCTCAAACTGATGGAACTTGTGTACACTTTAACAAGGAACTTCTGTACGCTTTCCCTGCACAGCCTCAGGACTGGGAAAGCCCAGCCACCAGTCTCAGCCCAGGGGCTTT